CTGGAAAATTTGACATGATTGATGCAGGATCCACATTCCCTATCTAGTGCTTTTCTCCACCTCCATCTACAATTCCACTTTGTGGATCTATTTAACAAGGAGATAATTAAATGTAAACACGAGTCACAGGTTTTCCTTCTCTGAAATATAATACATAAGAAATAACAAAGAAACATCGGGGAATAAAAAAGATAGGGGGTAGAACTCAAGAAGAGCTCATTGGTTAACCGGTGGCTGAAGGAGCCTGGGTAGACTATACAAAGGTCCCAGAAGAGAACCCAACAGCAAAAAAGGGAGGATCATTGCCCCCTATAGTAGTATGGCCAAGACCCAATGATTCCAGGCCTTTAGAACAAACTTAGCATCCAGTCCAACTGGATCATCTCTGAAAAGCCCTGCTAAAACAAGAGTGCTGTGGTTGAGCAGTACCAAAAACGCAGTTCATCTACAGGAAAATATTAAATTTTATAATATAAAATACAACTGTACAATAGTGTTTTAGCCACAAAGAAATCAAGGGGGAAAAAACAGGTTTCTTTTTTTTTTTAACAGGTTTCTTTTTCATAATTTATGTGATTTGCAGTTAAAGGGGAAATTTCTAAGTAGTGATACACTGTCTCCTTCCCAAATGTCAGGATGTTCAAAGCCGCGTGACATATTGCAACTTTTCCCAAATATCTGTGTATCCTAAGCACACTGTGTCAAGAAGACTGGTCCAAAAGCTTGATTTATGTTGCTGCCTGACGGATGATGTCTGGGAGGCATGCTGTCTAAATGGACTGTGCTCCGGCAGTTACCTTAGTCATCAATTCCAGAGAATTAACGAGTACCATTCATCCCAATAATAGAAACCAAGGTCAGGGCTTCTTCCCTGCTCTGTAATTCCATTAGCAATGCACAGAAAGCACTTAGGTCATAAGTTCTGTAGACCTTATAACTAAGCAAATGGAACTGCATCTTGTTTTCAGAGCGAATCCTCTCCAAACACACCCCTTGTCAATGATTTGTTGTACATCAATGTTCGGTGTACTTACACGTGTAGGGAGAATGCTGGTAAAAGGAAAGTGCAGCTGTCTTCAGCTGCCAAGAATTTCAAGCACTGTTTTTATTAAAATAAATGCCAGTAGAAAACAATTTTAACAAAACTATGTCAGATACTTCAATTATGGTCATAGCTTTTTAAATTGTGTACTCACTCAAATTTTATGTAAACCACTCGATCGTTCTAAGTGGCTACCATAGAATTGATTTCAGTTCTCATTACTCCATTTTAGTTTTTATTATTTTAGTTTGGCTTTTATCCTACCTGTCACAGTAAAGTGAAAATGGCCTTGAAACCAGGAGTTATCATCATAAGCAAATAAATCTGCTTACAATGAGACTGTCATCTTGAAAACTCAAGCAGCATGCTTCCCTAAGCTAAATCTTACCAGACATTCTCTCAGTCCTCATAATTCAAATTGCTTCTAACCTGGCATCTACAAAAAAAAAAAAAAAAAAAAAAGGAGGGAGTAATCCTACGGTTTGAAGCCACAGGCATAGGTTTGAATCCTGGCTTTGACACTTCTTTGTTTTCTTAACAATAGAATAAACATGATGATTATACTTCTATAACTACTTCACACTGTTACTGTAAGGATTTGCTCATATAATTGTGTGTGTGTGTGTGTGTGTGTGTGTGTGTGTGTGTGAAGTCTATGTTTTGAAACATTTGGGAGTTTATAACCAATAGATTCTAAATGATCCACAGTAATGGACGGGAGTAGAGGCATGAATAATTCAAAACAGCAAATTGTCCAAATACCAGCTGTATGTGTTTTAAGGTGTATTTTTAAATTTCATTCCAAATGTATTTCTAATGCCCCCAAAAATGACTTCAAATAAAGGAATGACACCAGATACGAAGTCCCAACTAAAAAGGATCTGAGGAGCTGTCCAATTTTCCTCTCCGTGCCTCCCTCCCTCTTACCTGCCATCCTCCCCTCTTCTCCCCCTCCCTCTTTATGTCCTGCCTGTCCAAAGACAGCTGCCACCAAGAACCAGCTTCAAGCAAAGTTTCCACCTCCCACTCTCCCCTGGATGGGGACCTTCGGTGTAGTGTTTGTGATGCTCTGCTTAGAGGCAGGCTGCACTCACCAAATAAAAGCACCAGGTGCTCCTGAAGCAAGTGCTTGCATGAAGAGAAGAGGCCACAAAGTCAAGAAACGTGGTGTGGTGCAGTGGTTAAGAGCCTATGGAATCTGATAGACTGGGATCCTAACTCTTGGTTGGGACTTTGTGACCTTGGACAAATTGCTATGTTTCTTCCACTCTAAACACGCAGTGGTAATGCTCTCAGGTATGTCACATGATTTGTTAAGGATTAAATCATATGTATTTTAATGTAGTTATAGTCGTGTGTGTTTGTGTGCGTGTGAGGCTCAATGCGGATAATGAGGATGTCTGTATTATACTGATTTCCCTTTGAAAAATAATTTCTTACTTCTAAGCTGGTGTTTTCCTACAGAGACCTGCAACAACATCTTTTTTATAAAACCAGAGAAAGGGGATCCCTGTGTGGCTCAGTGGTTTAGCTCCTGCCTTTGGCCCAGGGTGTGATCCTGGAGTCCCGGGGTCGAGTCCTGCATCGGGCTCCTGGCATGGAGCCTGCTTCTCCCTCCTCCTGTGTCTCTGCCTCTCTCTCTCTCTCTCTCTCTCTCTCTCTCTCTCTCTCTCTCATAAATAATAAATAAATAAATATTTTAAAAATAATAAAAAATAAAAAAATAAAACCAGAGAAAAACAAACAGGATGCTTGACCTCATCTGGCATCTCTGTAATCCCCCAAAACACATCTCTCTTCCCCAAATGAAGCTGTTTTCCTGTGTTGATACTTGGGAGATAATGCTGTGTTTCATTAGTAAAGGGTTTCTTTAGTTTTAGCAGTATTATGGGTTTACCCCACATGGGAAGAATTCAAGCTGGTACCTACACACAAGCACATGCACACATATCAGTAGTGATATCAGAAACATTAAAAAGATAACAGTAATAAAAAGAATGAAAGAGAAATTAAAACTCGCAGAGCAATTCTGACACCAGGCACTGTCTTAGTCATTTTACATATGACAACTCATTTGATTCTCAGAACCATCCTGTGAAGTCAGTGATATTATTATCCCAATTTTATTATTGAAAAGCAAGCTCTGAGAGGCCAGGTAACTTTCCAAAGATCCCATGATAGGTAGCAATAGACCTGTTGGAAACCAGGGAGACCGTGCCATGTGCTGCAGTTCAGGGCAGTACTGAACCCAAAGGGGGCAAAAACAGGGATGAATGTTCACTCTCGTTAATGGGTTCTTACTACATTTCTGCTTGAGAGAAATACATTGTCTCGAGAGTCTAAGATGACCTTTAGTATGCTTTAAAGGAGGCTGTTCTTAATTAAAGTCATCAGTACCACAGGTACATAAAAAGGTGTTTGAGCTCCCAACGTGATGGGTTTTACCTCAGAAACATGGGCTCAGCCAATATTTTCACATGCCATCTATAACCTTTCACAATGGAAATATGATCAAGGTACAGGTTCATTAACTCGCTGATTGTCCTTCCTCACCGGGGTTACTAGCTCACGTTGTGCCTTTCGCTGTAACACACACAGAAGATTGAGAGTTCAAGGAACAGACATTCCTGAAGCAGAACAAATGGTGGAGTGTCTCTGCCTCTCTACGCAGATAAATCAGTACCTGACTTCCGTGGACAGAGCCACAATAAGCCATTGACGGGCCATTTCCTGGCTGGGGTTCCCTGTCTAGAAGGGAGAAAGGAAAAGGAACAGGTTTCTAGACTGCAACCTCCTTGGGGCGGGGGGCTGGGGTGGGGGTATGGGGCTGGTTAAAGGGACACAGTGTGTGCCATCAATACCTGACTCCAGAAATAGGTATCCTGGTAGGCATTCGCACATCAACCTGCTAAAAATTCTTTATCGTCATGTACCCGGCTGTCCCTACATATATAAATAAATGAGAAAGAAAACAAATCTTCATTGTTTTAAAGAGACATATACCCTATTTGATCAACCTGGTACACATTTTCATATTTTAATATCAAAAAAAAATTATATAGTATCTCACAGTCCCTGGAGTGTCATTGTTTAATCGGAAGAGTTGAGTTCGTTCGTTCATTCTTTCTTTTTCTTTCTTTCTTTCTTTCTTTCTTTCTTTCTTTCTTTCTTTTCCTTCTCTCTCTCTCTCTCTCTCTCTCTCTCTCTCTCTCTCTCTCATCTTTCTTTCTTCTTTCGGAACCTAAAACAAAAGTATGTTGTAATAGCATCTTAGATTTGACGAAATATATTATGCATCAGATATTAGCAGGATCTCAGCACCTCTTAATAAATCAAACCAGAAAGAAGGGGTAAGAGTTGAAAGTTGCATCAGCCTTGAAACTGAAGCCTAATTGAGCACAGGCTTCTTCACCAGCTGTGACAGTCCATGTTAATACAGATTTCTTCCCTGTTTTCTTCTCTCAGTAAAATAGGAAAGGGTAGACATGAAATTCTTCGCATTTATTGCACCTTTCTGAAACTGTGGATTATTGTCTCTACGGTATGAGCTCAAAATAGTTTATGCCTGTAGTTCTCAAAAAATTGTGTGTTTTGGAATGTCTTGAGGAGCTACTTAAAAATTCATGATTCTCACCCGCTTCCTGGACATTCTGATGCACAAGGCTGGAGGGTAAGGCCCAAAGAGCTGTATTTTCAATCCTAGGGTGATTACAATGCTCCAAAGTATGAGAACCCCTGGTCCATGTGTTTGGAATTGGTCCGTCACTGCACAGGACTTGATTCTAGAAATTCTGATCTGCACAGGAGAACATTTAATAGGTGTGGCTATGATTTCAAAAGGCAAATTGACTGATGGAAGGACAATTTCTGACATCGCATGGTTTCCGGTGGGGCTGGGACTCAGAGAGCGTGTGTTGGGAACACCCCTGATATCTGATTCTGTTGGGGATTGTTTTAGCTGTGCCCCATAAAATTGGACGCATCATCGATGGGAGTCCTGCAGACCGTTGTGCAAAACTGAAAGTGGGGGACCGGATCTTAGCAGTGAACGGCCAGTCCATCATCAACATGCCTCATGCAGACATCGTGAAGCTCATCAAGGACGCGGGTCTTAGTGTCACCCTCCGCATCATTCCTCAGGAGGGTGAGTGAGTGCCTGAGCCTGGCTGTCATCGATGTAGTCCCCAGAGTGTCCAGAGTTGATTCCTATATCCACTTTGGCAAAAATTCACATTCCCTCGCAACCCCATATCCTGTTTACTCAGTACCAGTTTCATTCAGAGATCAAGCTGGGTGACATTATAGATAAATAGTGCGCATCCCAAGACGCTGGGTTATTCAATCATCCCCTGCGATCCCAGGAGTACTGCTTTTATGGTTCTAGTAAGCCAGAACCCATTCAACAGAGATGATAGAGTTACAAATCTGAAAAAGAAAAAAACGTATGCATGTTAACAGTTAAGCTCTGGAGGATTCTTCAAAGTCAGATTGATTTTGAAAAGCTTGAGGAAGTTTTGTGGTATAAAGAGAGCTCATTTAGGAAACGTTGCGTCTGCTAAGAATTTTAAATTCCCACTTAGTCTTTTGAATTTCTCTGTATAAGGACTCCCCCCTGAGGCTTGAAGAGTGGTGAGCCTCACAGCTCACAGCCATGACTTGAGGGCCACAAGGATCTAAGTACCCACTCACCATAAAAGTCACCGTTTCCAGACACAGTGGGTTCATTACTGGTTTGTAGCTGCTGACTCATTAATGATGCTCGAGAACACAGTCCCTGGAGCTCCCCGGTGAGTGGATCGCAGCACCCCACATGGAGAGTGATGGGTTCACTCCCCTTGCTCCCCTCTGTTTTACTCGGTCTCCCAAGTCCATCTTGGGGCTATCTGACACAGAGACACCGAGCAGTCACTTGACTTTCAGTATAAATCAGTGGTTCTGAGCTGAGATGATTTCGTCCCCCTGGGCAACGTTTGCCACAGTTCAAAGACAGTTTTGATTGTCACGATTGGGATGGGAATGCCACCATATCTAGTGGGGAGAGGGTGAGGGCACTGCTAGGCACCCTGCAGTGCACAGGGCAGTCCCCACAGCAAAGAATTATCTGGTCTAAAATGTCAACAGTGCTGAGGCTGAGAAATCCTGCAAGTGAAGAAGAAATTTTAAAATTGGGGCTGTCAAAGAAGAAAGGGAAAGAGTGGCTTATAAAGGAATAGACTGCCTCCCTTTTATCACCTAATAAAAAGAACAGAACAGAACATGACCGTGGTGCTTTTAACCTCTTATTTGCAGACACCATTATGTAGAAAATATTCAATGGAAATTAAAGCAAGATTGCTCACTAAAAATCTGACTGGCTTTTCCATTTTCCCCAGGCTGAACCATGTCTGTCCTGTTTCTATCATATCATATACAGATAATTTCAGTTGAAAGTGCGCTGCTATCACAGGAAAACCCGAGAAGCTATTTTAACAAAGAACAACTTTAAAAAAAAAAAACAAAGAACAACTTTATTCTTCTATGCGATGTTCTTTTCTCTTTCCGAAGAACCATGGAGGACGGGCGGTGGGCGGGGTGGTTATTAAACAATAAGACAAACAAGGAACTGAGAGAAGATGATGAAAAGCATTTATTTCTGTTATATTTAATTCCTTATCCAAACTTTGGAATACTGGTAGGACTTGCCGTTACAACCAAAAAGCAGTGGCTCAAATGTTTTCTCTGTGGGCAACACTGGAAAAATAGAATATGTCTTAGAGCTTACTCCTTTGTATTATTTTTTCATTGTTTTAACAGGTTTCTTTTTAATTGTGATCTCTTCTCCTTACAAAATGACAAGAGACTCTGTTTATAACCTTGTTTGGCAACACTTATAATTAACAAAATAATACTAATTCTGGGAATGGTACAGGAACTGGGTTGGATAATTGACACATTTAACCTGCCATCTTTAAGTCTAATGGAAACTGAAATAACCGAAGCCTCAGTCATCTGAGGAGGCAAAGAGTTACCACCTCTGGCCACTTCTTGCCCTTAATCAGATGCCAACCTGACTGCATTTGCCACTTTGGCTCCCCTTTGCAGAGCTCAACAGCCCAGCCTCGGCGCCCAGCTCAGAGAAGCAGAGCCCGATGGCCCAGCAGAGTCCTCTGGCCCAGCCAAGCCCGGCCACTCCCAACAGTCCTGTTGCCCAGCCAGCTCCTCCTCAGCCACTTCAGCTGCAAGGACATGAAAATAGGTAAAGTTTCCCCTGGGTTTTGTGACTCTGAGAAGCGAGGGAAGTGGGGAGAGGGAGAGTTTGGGACAGGACAGGACAGGACACAGGCAGAAGAGAAAGTTTCATGAAGTAGAAATTGCCATGTGTGCCTTTCTGTGACTTTGAGATTGTGGGTGCGTCACAAGTGTGGTTTTATTAGCAAATACAAGTGTCCATTCTTTATACTAAGAGAACCTTCCCTGAAGAAGTGATGAGCAATTCTAGATCAGTAGGGGTTAACTCAGCTGAAGAGCACACTGAAGAGAGCCCAAAGCGGGGAACATATACAAAAGCTTTTTGGCAGGAGGGAGCGTGCAGCCATGAGAGGGGTGGAAATAAGGTCAATGTCGTGAGGGAAGAGGTCAGGGAGCGTAGTTTGAGAAGAAGCTAGTGAGAGTGGTAGGGGCCCACTTATGGGATCTTGTAAGCATGTTAAAGATTTGGATCTTAAGTGTAGTGAGAGGTCATTGGAGGGTTTTACAAATAATATTTTATTTAAATGCAATTTGCCAACATATAGTAGAACACTCAGTGCTCATCCCATCAAGTGCCCTATTGGAGGGTTTTCTGCTGGAAGACTGACATTGCTGGCTTTGCTTTCGAAGGCCTCTCAGTTGGCCCCCCAGAGAACTGGCTGGAGGCTGGTCAGGGTGGATGCAGGTCATTCAGCAGGGGGAGATGGCTGCCGACGTCCTCAGAGAAGGCGGTGGCTCAGGGAACACCGGTGGTGTGGAGAGGGGGGAGCGTGGGAAGACTTGTTAGCATTAATAAATGGTAGCATTCTTTACCGCATGTTCCCTTATATCCCCTTACCCATGATCTAATGAGGTTCTTCCATTCTGCATCATAAACTTAACGTACAGAAGGTACCTTAAACTTCCAGGAGAAGTCTCACGCCTTGTGAGAACTGCAGTGTCTTCTTAGTATGACTGGTGTGTAACAGGGAGCCGGGGTCAGGCTGAGCAATTAGAGAAAGAGATGAAGACACATTCCCACGCTGTTTCCCCTCTTTCAAAGGAGAGGAATGGAACAACCCACAAGAACATCTCTGCGTCTGAGACCCTCGCCGGTCTTTTGCATAATTCTAATGTTTTCTGAACATCTGTTTCCCAGCTTCTGCCTCCCATGTTGGTGAAGATGAAGTGAGACCCAGCCCCACAACTCTGTAGGTTCATCACTCGCACGCTTGCAGAGCAAATATTTACTCTGCACCACAGGTGTTATTTCCATCAAGCCCTGCTCTCCTCGGAGTTCCCCCCATTTGCTTTCACGGAAAAGGAAGTGTCTGTTGTCCTCAGCTGTTTATGGGTTTAATCTATTCCAGGGAAGAAAAAAGACTGAAGACCCTAAAGCAAATGATAGGGAGGTAAGCATTTGACAACCCTAAGAGGAGTAAGTCATGGGTGCCTCACTAATAAGCCAGGGGTGTCTTCTCTTTCACTGTGCATGGTTGCAACAGGTGGCCCTGGCTTTCCCCAGGCCTCACGTCCGACTGGGGAGGAAGGGGCTGAGTGCACACAGTCCTTGAGCCAGCTTCAGACTTTTCTTAGGGCTGTCCCACTGGCTATTCCTGGCCATAGTCCCATCTCACTTTTCCAGAGTCAGACTCCCCTGGACATGGGCTTTGGGGTAAACTCATCCCCGTCACGGTATAGTTCGGTGGGGAGAATCAACTTTGGGTGAGGTCACTATCATGTCCCCGTTGCTACTAGCTCACAAGGGGACTAGTAGGCCTCTATCAGAGAAGCAATGGTCTTTGGAATATTTTTTGTCCTGACTACAGAAAAAAATATTTTCTAACCCTGGGATTACCAGATGGACCTGATTCAAATTTGTATAAATCACCAACGAGAATTTTCCAAGAGTTCTTAATTATTTTTGCCTCATGATAACATTAAAAGCCTGTCAAATGCCCACTGTAGGGGGGCCTTTCTTGACAGGTTCCCTGGCTTCACTGTTGATTGTTAGCGGGTGGCTCTTTTACACGTGAATGAAGAGATGGATAATCTTACGGATGCCCAGATCTTCTTCCTAGCTACATTTGACGATGGTCAGGGTATCAGAAACTCTTTGTCTTTCTCAAGATCAGCTAGAGATGTCTCCAAGAAGGCTTGTATGCCAGGCACCCGGTATGCAGTTCCTATTAGTTCGTTTGTACAAGAAGTGCCCACCTACCTACATGTCAAACTGAGCCAGGTTCCATGTGAAAGTGGGATAAAATTAAATGACAGTCTGCTTGCAAATTTTTATTTTATGATTTAGGGTGACTGAATATTTTATCCCATCTTATTTACTCTCAGTACGGCTTCCCACTGATACCCTGCACACCTCTACTTCTTTATCTTCCCTTAACATCCTTTAAGGTATATGCTCAGGAAACAAAATAGTTTTAATATGGACACAAGCAAAACAGTATTCAAGGAGAAGCATTTGTGGAAAACAACAAGAGCCAACATGTGATATGTTTCAAAACTAAGTATAACTAGCAGAGTTTACCTTCCCCAGCAAGGGCAATTAATATTTGCATTTTAAACAGCAAGGTTGGTGGAAGAACGCTGGATATTGACTTCTGTCACAGACTCTGAATCCTAGATGCTTTGAGACTGTTAAGAATTCTAGAAAGGCCCACATGAGGGAAAATCCCACCACAAGTTCCCCTACCCCATGGGCAGTGTTTCCTGGTTCTGGAACTTGCTTATACAAAAATTCTGCTAGAATTTACCACTAAAAATCTGAGTTTATTATCTCAAAAATCTCTTTAATGGGATTAATAACTACAAAGAGTTATACTGATACCTGCTTTCATGAGTGAAGGAATTTTAAAGAGGCTGTATTTTTTTTTATAATACTGAGTTTTCCTGAAAATAAGGCATTTCACAAATTCAAATCAACGTAATTTTTGCTCATGCCAGGGTATCATTCACTTAAAAGTTAGCAACGCTCATGAAATATTAAGCATATTTTTCTTATTAAAGACTCTTCGATGGGCGGTTCAACACAAAATCCTGACACATGGCACTGGTGCCAAATGCAATTTGAGTGCCAGAAGGTAGATTTGGATGACAGCTGTTGCATTTTAACAGTTCCTATTCTAGGCTGTTGTGTAATCTTTGGGGAGACTCGACACTTCACCCTCTTTTGCTACACCCGTGACACATCTGGTTGGAAGGGGAGCACGTGATGGATCCTGCACGCCACTACCACACGGATGGTGAAAATAAAGTGACTTGTACCATGGCTCAAAACAGCGTGACATCTAATCTACCAAAAACAAGTCCTGGGAAGGAATCAACACGTGCCAACAAATGCCAGCCAGTTCAGCTCCTTTTGTTTAATTCATGCGTTTGTGCGGTTAAGCATCTAATTCGAAGTGTAGTTACATAATTCTGTTCTCATCATGCACACTCCCAGTTGGTGAGTGGACACCCTGCTGAGGTAGAAAGCAAAGCCCGGATTGTGCCATTCACAAGAGGAATGTGTCACTTCTACAGGGTTAAGTATCAAACGGAACCTGCTCAAAGTGTTGTTTAAAGTAACAACTTACTAACCCCATTCCAAAAGCCCCAAATATATACATCTACTGCTGAACATCGTTAGTGTGTCCTCACCAAATACTAGATTCCACTAATGACAATTGTTCAGGTGAGTGATTTTTAAAAAATAGTTAGTAGTAATCAGCATCAGTGAGGCCCTAAGTCAGTTAAAAAAAAAAAAAAAAAACCTCTGGTTTTAAAGGTAAACATTCACTAGTTTTGATCCTGTTTTCTTGACATATTTTAGTTTTTCCTTGGTCCTAAATATTTTCTCAATTCTTCAAACCCTCTCTATTTTATTTTAAAATAAATTTAAAATAAATTTAAATTTTAATTTTAAAAAAAATTTTAAATTTAATTTAGATAAAATTGTCATTACACAGAATGTGTTCTTTTCAATCTTCCTATAATTCTGAGCAGCTCGTTATGGACTGTTGCTGTGACAATAGACAATGAATTACAGAATTAAGTGGCCTTTATACTATGGTGATAACTTTTCAGTGTACCTTATTATTGATCCCATAGTGGTAGAGGATCTATGTTAGTCTTTTTTTGGAACTGGAAACCCCTTCAGTTTAGAGCAATTCGGATTCACCAAGCAGCACTAAACAACTAGCTCTGGTTTCTATATTTATTTTATAAGTGCAATAGCACCCCCCTTAATCTACAGTTTAGCTTTCCATGGTTTCAGTTACCATGAAGCTCAAGCATGGTCTGGAAGCAGATAATCCTCCTTCTGACAAATTATTGTCAGAAGCTCAGTAATAGCCTCGCCTAACGTTACACAACGTAATCATAGTACCTAGGTCATTTCCCTCGCTTCATCTCATCACACAGGCATTTTGTCATCTCCCAGCATCACAAGAAAGGTGAGTACAGGACAATAAGATATTTTGAAAGAGAGAGAGAGAGAGACCACACTCACATAGCTTTCATTGCAGTATATTATTATAATTGTTTTATTATTAGTGACTGTTGATAATCTCTCGCTGTGCCTAATTTACAGATTAAACTTTATCATAGGTATGTACTTACAAAAAAAACATACTATTTATAGGGTTCAATACTATCTGCAGTTTCAGACAACACTGAGGTCTTGGAATGTACCCCCCATGGGTGGGGGGAGGGACTACTTAAGTAATATCTAGAAACAAGAAAGAGACACATGTTGGACATAAACATTTTTGCCTTTCCTTTCGTCTTACAGCCATAATAGTATCTGATAATAGCACCTGATACTGATCTGATAGTTATAGCCTCATATTTAAACTCTATGTAATGTTTCTACTCTTAGGAATGACCCAATGACTTTCTACTTGACTTGTAGCTGTTGATTATACTTTGCTCTCACTCCTTTAACCTCGGTAAGATATTCAGAAAGACCCAACCTAGCGGGTCAAAATAACCCTTAATTATATATTTATAGAGTATTTAGAGATCACTTCAATCGTGCTTTCATGAAGTCATGAATGGGGTGTGGGGGAGAGAGAGAGAGAGAGAGGTTGATAGTGTTGGTTTACTGGTGTTGAGACAGACTGGTATTTTGAGATGTATAGCTAAGTGTTTAATTCCCTAGATTTACTACAATTGTACATTTTTAAGTAGCCAGAGTCAAAGAGGGATATCCTTAAGTCCTTTTCCACAAAGTCCTGGTTGAGCCATCATGTTTACCTTGTTTTCTTATGGAGCCAAATGGAAAGTATACAATATGGCATTTGTCAAAGATTTTAAAGTGATACTTACCATCTGTAATTTTCTCAAATTCCTGAACAAGCAAAAGGACCACCCAGAGAGGTGGCCCAGACGTGCCTGGAGATCATGTGATCATTCTAATCTCCTTAGAATGCTAGATATCAGAGCAAATCCCATTTCCATTTATTTAGTTACAGATCAGAAGTAAAAGCAAGGCAAGATGTGAAACCAGACATCCGACAGCCTCCATTCACGGACTACAGGCAGCCGCCACTGGACTACAGGCAGCCCCCAGGAGGGGACTACCAGCAACCCCCACCCTTGGACTACAGGCAGCCTCCCCTGTTGGACTACAGACAGCACTCCCCTGACACCAGACAGTACCCTCTGGCAGACTATAGGCAGCCCCAGGTACCTCAAAGACCCATTAAATTTCATTTTGCTAATGAGCAAACCTGTAATTCACTCACACGAGTGCACAAACACACACACACACACACACACACACACCTCTGATATATTTACTTATGGTGCTCAACAGCAGTGAATGAGAAAACTCAAAAATGTGATACTATCACTCAGGCCAAATGTAGTCGTTACGTTTGCCCAGTAAGGGGATGAACACCAAAGTAAACACACTATACGGTAGTTCTCCTAATGACCAAGTAAACTGCATTCAAATCTGCTTGAGCCTTTGAAATTTTGCCTTGCATTTCACTAGACTGCAAAGTCATATTACTTTTTCTCACAATATCCCATCATTTGGGACACATTAATTAGAAGAGAGAGGGAGAACAGAGAGACTGGCCATAGAAGCTTCTCTAATGTTAAACAACTGTTTATTCCATTTTCTCCCCAACTCTAAAGGATTTTGATTATTTCACTGTGGACATGGAGAAAGGAGCCAAAGGATTTGGATTCAGCATCCGTGGAGGAAGGGAATACAAAATGGATTTGTATGTGTTGAGATTGGCAGAAGATGGGCCCGCAATAAGGAATGGAAGGATGAGGGTAAGAACAGTCTCTTTTTATAGAACTGCTTGATTCTGAAAGAAAAACTCACCGTAGTATCAGAGTGCTGAAGCAGGTGATGCAGCAAACAGGCTGGGCGTGAGTTTTACCTCCTTTCCATTGCATGACTCACTTTTCTAATGTTTTGGTAGAATTTGACTTATGAATTCTATTCTCTCTCGTTTTCTAGTGTATAGCCTTCCAACTGGCTAATCTCATTAGTTTCTCTGAAGAGCAAACTAAAGAAAATGCACAAATTAACCTAAAATAGTTTGAAGTGAAAACATGGATCCATAATTTTTCCTATGGTTTGATGATATTTAGTTTTCATTTGAGAGGAAATCTTTTGAAATTTATTTGATTGTTTTATGCTTTCTTTTTCCTCTGTGCTTATTAATCAAATGGTTCTGTGTCTCTTTGGAAAGATTTCTCTTGCCTTGACTAGTCCTTTGGCTTTGCTACTGGAAAAAAAAGGGGGGGGGGGACTAAGCTTCTTAGATATATGTTGTCCTTAAAAATGGTGGCATTTTCCAATTAGAGCGTAAGTTGAGGTGGATTTTTCTTAATGTATAGCAATTTTGAGGCATCTGATTGATGGTACAAAACATCTCAAGGTACAAAAGAAAACTTGATAACAGTATAGAATATTAGTCTCTCTCTGTCTCTGTCTCTCTCTCTCTCTCTCTCTCTCTCCCTCTCTCACTCCCTCACTCTCTTTCTGCAAAATGGCCATTAGTAAGCCCATGTTCAGGCAGCTGAGCAGTGAGGCAGGGCCTGGCATAACGAGCCAAGCTGTGAGACTGGAGGCAATTCTCTGGCCAGCACATCCACAGCCCACATCCTCTGGACTATGGCTTGGACTGCATGGCCCCCTCCACCCTGGGAGCCCTTTGGGCCTCCCTAGCCTTAGGCTCTGAAAGCACAACAAATGTTCTCCCCTGGGGTGGGCCGGAGGGGTGGGGAGTCTTCACACACATCTGCGGCGCTGGCCTGCGCCCTCACCCGGGCACCTCCTGATCTGAATAGGATTCCCCACTTTCTAGTCCACATACCCCAGGTCTTGAGACCCGTTCTGGCATAAAAAAGAAAAAAAAAAGTTAGCTATTGTAAATAAAATCTGGAGTTCATTTTTGCCCTCCCTCTTTGTCCTCTAAATTAATACAGAAAAGCTGTGGTACTTGGCTTCTGGAGCCTCAGGTTCTTAGACTAAGCTTCACCTACCACTTGCTCCCGAATAACTGAATGAATCGGTTGTTCCTACCATCCAGTCTACCATTTCTGTGGTTTTCATTCAAGGAAAATGAGTCATCCACAGTGCAAAAGTAGGAAGAACATAAATCAGGTCAATTTTTCTCCCTCCCTTCAGAATTCTTTGACAACAGGGAAGTATCCAAGCTGGAATACAAACCCAGGTGGGGGCTGACTCTCGAGATTGACAGCCCCTGCCCTGAGCCAACACCAGCCTCCTCTGACCCCATCTACATAGAGTTTTAGGTTTAGCCCTCTTGGCTTTCCTAAACACAAAAGGGCACTTTCTTAACATGCTGCAAAGCCAACTCATAAGAGGTTAAATAAACCAAAATCTTTGTAGTACAGGTGAAAACAACACAGCACGAAGGCCATGAGTGAAGTGACCAGACCCCTAGGAGAGAGAAAAACCTGCCCACACCCACAGTGACCTGTGTGGGTTCCAAGCGGTGGCCACATTTTTTTACAAATGATCTAAATGGCTGCTAATACATACAATACTCCCAAGGCATAGAAGCCTAAATATAGAAGTCCTCTTATGTAAAAAGAACATTCTTTCTTAGAGAATTCAAGCCAGAGCAATAGTTCTCTGCTGGGTCCCTGGCATCAGCATCACCTGGGAACATGTTAGAAATGCAAATTCTGAGCCCCACCGCAGACCTACTGAATCAGAAACTCTAGGAGTGGGGTCACAGGATGCGTTGTGTCATACACACACACACATACACACACACACACACACACACCACCACCACCACCACCACCACCACCGGTGAATCTGATGCAAACTGAAGTTTGAGAACTTCTAACTGAGCCAGAGGGAAGCTGACTCCACACAGGTATGACAAAGAAAGGATATGTGTGGCTCAGGCTTTGTTAATTCCCCCTAGGTCTTGTCTAAGGAGATTTCCATCCTGTTCCAACAGTTTACCAGAGGTTTTTAAATACATGTAAACACAGATTTACAATTCTGTAGGCAGGTGCTCAATTTTATGAAAGATGCTTTTTCTTCTGGCAAGTGATAAAAATGATAACTGGGTTTCAGAAAATGGTATTTTAACTTTGTTTCAAAGATTATAAAAATAAGCAATATTTTATAATTGTCCGTGCTAGATTTATAGAGCAACCTATTCTGTGTGCAAGCTATCTAAAAGGGCTGGTTATGGCCAGTTTTAGATAATACAGGTTAGTTCATTGGGGTTATTATATATATATATTATATATAATATATATATATATAATATATATATAATTTAATTCTCAAAGAAAAGGAACCACTGTGGGGTCACAGAAATTCCATGGATAAAATTTTACTGGTTGATTTTTATCTCCAATCTTTAAATTCAGGCTGGGAATTTAGCAGGGATGGATGGACTGTTTTATGCTGTTCATGGATTATATTTAGCACTCGTTTTCTCACTCATGGACCAGTGGAGGATTTGTCTAGGGACTAACTGCATGTCAGGGAAAGAGACAACTTCACCATGTTCATATTATCTACTGTCACATTTAGGTAACTATTTTGTATGTATAGCTGTTCTTCATCATAGCACATAATTAAATCAGATCTTGTTTCAATGTTTATGATCAAATCATTTAAGCTAATGTTTCCTACCTTCATTTGTGCTTATCAGTAATTGGCAATAACCTGTAATTCACAGATGCATTTAAATGATTTTGGCAAGGACTAGGATCGATCAGTATTTGCATGATTCAGTGGATTATTTTAAACTAATGCTAAACTGGATCATATCTAGGTTACCAATTTGGAAACTTTACAATACCATCAATTAGGGACCTATTTTTCATTTTACTGTAAGATCCCCCCCTTGATATCACTGGGGCCCAGATACCTACACAGATCTTCATTATAAGGCAGCTCTGCACCCCATGGGTGTTAGGGCTTGGTTGCAAAGCTCTAAGACTCCTAAGAAAAATAGGTGGACAAAGGATTCATGGGCTATCATTAGAAATAAACCCAAGAAGTACAGAAGCTAGCACCAGGTTCTTCCCAGCCTTTAAAACATCCAGACACGTTTCTCCTTATTGATGTGATTCCTTCACCTTCAGTCTTAATCTATCATTTCCTAACTACACACACACACACTTTATGATCAAATCAATGTGGAAAAGATTTTTCCCCCTTTTTCATGATCAGAAACAGAAGGAAAAAGCCGGGTAATGATCTGATCATAGCTAGATATCTAAGATGAAACACAACATAATTAGAATTGATGAAATCAGAATTACGGTGAAAGAGCTGGATGATTCTGAAAAATCATTTCATGTAACAACTAATGAACTACTAAGCCCTTGGGTCAGGGATGTAAATAATAGCATTTTTGAACACTTAGTTAATGCACCAGATGTTAGCCTCTGCACCTGAGACTTCTCCTGGGTCTTTTATCAACGCCTTAGTTGTAAGACAGTGGTGGCATATGCCTCTTCAGTACTACAAGAAAGTCAGGTCCAGTGGTGCCAGAGAAGGTGGTGAACAAGGGTACGAGGACATCCGTCTCACACTGGGGATTTTAAGAAACAATGACACATAAATATTTTTAAAGCATGTCTGGGGTGCCTGGGTGGCTCAGTCAGTTGAGCGTCTCTTGATTTCGGCTCGGGGCATGATCTCAGGGTCGTGAGATCAAGCTGCGTATTGAGCTCCATGCTGGGCATGGGACCTACTTAGGATTTTCTCCTTCTCCCTCTGCCTCTCCCCGCCCCCCTTCCGTGTGTGCACAGGAGCACACATGTAAGTGCATGCTCTCTCTCTCAAAAAAAAAAAAAGTAAGCAAGCAAAACATAATCTTTAAATGCGGAAAATACAGGGAAAAGAAAATAGAATAACCATCATGTCTGATTGATTTTTTTTCAGTCATTTGGGAAGGCTAACGTCATAAGAAAAACACAAATGGCATTCAGATTTTAAGGAAAAGTGTAGGAAATTATTAGAGATTATTAATGGATATGTTTTAAAAAGGAGGATGTCTTAAATTTGTAAAATAGTCTAATAAAGTTGAGAGTAATGAAGTGTTTGTACTGATGAACAAATATCTGATACCAAGTGTTTAGGGACACAATTATAATTTAAAACAGAAAATAAATAGGAAACATGGGCAAAGAATAATGAATATACAGAATAACTTACTGGTGAATCAAGGGATCTTAAGAAATCAAGAGACATTTGGAGGAAAGCATAGAATTTCTAATTACATAAATAAATTCTGACAGTCCAGTTAAAAGAGAATCTGAAAGGAGACCAAGTTTGCTCTTGAAAAGGTAAAATAGGGATCCCTGGGTGGCGCAGCGGTTTGGCGCCTGCCTTTGGCCCAGGGCACGATCCTGGAGACCCGGGATCGAATCCCACATCGGGCTCCCGGTGCATGGAGCCTGCTTCTCCCTCTGCCTGTGTCTCTGCCTCTCTCTCTCTCTCTCTTTCTCTCTCTCTCTCTCTCTCTCTCTCTCTGTGACTATCATAAATAAATAAAAAAAAATTAAAAAAAAAGAAAAGGTAAAATATTTTCCTGTTTCCATAAAATATAATTATATTCCCCATTTCCATAAAACATACTTTCTATTATGAAAAAGAACATCATTTGGGACACCTGGGTGGCTCAGCCATTGAGCGTCTGCCTTAGTCTCAGTGTGTGATCCAGGGTCCAGGATCGAGTCCCACATTGGGAAGTAGGGAGCCTGCTTCTCCTTCTGCCTGGGTCTCTCTCTCTGTCTCTCATGAATAAATAAATAAAATC